ATATTTTCAAGAAAACACAATCCTTTTGTTTTGGATTCATGACATTTAACTCATCCACGTGTCCCATAACGAGGGCTGACGTTGCTCAGCTCTTAGGACGTGCGTGCGGTGCTTATAGAAGGGTACAGGCACTGCCCAACTTAATCCCCTAAGGATCCCGTGAAGTGGGTCTCATTACTTTCTCACTAAACAGATGAGGAAACTGAGACTTTGAGAAGTTAATTTGCCGCACTCACACATCCAGTCTAGTCCTGGTGCCAGAACTGAGTCCAAGCCTTCACACCACAAAACCTGGTGGGTTTTCCGAACCAACGTCCTATAATTTGAAATCCATTTTATCTGACAGCCCTTCCCATCCATCTGTCATGTGCTAGGAAACAAACTGTGTCCAAGAAAGAAAAAGTGGGGGGGGGGGGGATTTAAACATCTAAAGGCACAGGAAACCTAAACTTCACAATCTACTGTCTATATGGCACAAAGTACTTACCTGCTTCTGAGCAGAATTAAGTACATCGTCTCTTACTCTTAAAAAAAAAAAGTCAAGGCGACAAGAGCTCATGGTGGAGAAGAGCCAATGAATTCTAAATCGCCAACAAAACTGAATGAGCCACCTTACGCCCAGCCAGAGACCAACCACTACCATGATGTACTGATGGGTTATTGGAGAGCTGGAAGGAAAATTCCAAGGCCAGGGAGCAACCAAAGGTTAAAGTTAAAAAAAGTTATCTCCTTTCATATTTGCAGACCACAACACTCTCCCCTTACAGACCTTTAAGAGGGGCTTTATTTTTGTTTTTAAGCAGAGAACCAAGCCCTTCCTTTTTAAAGAAACAAGAGTGAACAGAGAACTTCCTCTCCATTATTTAATCTATCAATTTTGGTTTCACATTGCATCACCATGAGGATAATAATATCTGCTTTCTATCACTTAAGGTATGTTCCCAATAACCATCAGAGCCAATAAAAGATCTCCAAGACCACGGCCTACATACGTTCATTATTAGTGACTTTTTTCTTTCTTTTTTTTTAAAGCAGAGTAGTAGGTTAATAAGAGATATCAGATTACCCCTTTAAAAAAAAAAATCATCATGGGCCAAAAATGACATAAAACACTTCAAACTGAAAAGTCAGTACTTGCAAGTCTTGGAAGGAAATGTTACAGGATAAGGATAACGTTTAAAACACTGGAATATTTGGATTAAAAACCATTTACTATTTACAAAACATAACATGCAGCTTCGAAAGCGATGAATCCATACCAGCAACAAACAGACTATTCAGGAATTTTATCGTGGCGCTAGCACATTAACACATTTGGCGGTTTTTAAGTAAACAATGGTTCCTAATATGCGAGTGCTCGCTGTATATGTGCAATATATTAGATGCCAAAAATAATCCTTCACTCACAATTGCCGTCAACAAAAATTCAGAGAACTGAAAAGTCTTTTCTTCTGTCATTTGCGTTTACTAAATAACCCTGAAAGCTTAAAATCCAACTGTGGCACGTGAAACACACATTGTGGTTCCTGGGTAAGAATACCAAGTGCTCTGTGTGTTGAAACCAGTTCTTAAATGCTACAAAAATCAAATGTGGATTGTCGTCCCCCCCCCCCCCCCCCCCCGAGACTCAGGACAGTTTTCCACTTGGGTCATTTCAAATTTCAGTGTTAAGAGTCAAATGCTCGTTTGGAAGGCTGTTCAGGTTTTGAACCATACACTTGGGTTGTGTGAATGTGTGTGTTTAAACAAAACTCTGGATGAATGCTCTGCTAGGACGAGATACTCAGCTGAGAAAACTAAGAAAACAGATCTGTAAGGACATGCAGTGGAATGTGCGTGGTTTGGCTGGAAGGCTCACAATCGGGCGCAAATTGTAGCACATAATGGCTGGAAAAGTTAATTAAGGCAACCTAACAGCACCAAAAACAAAACTTTTTTGTTTGCTTGTTTTATTTTATTTTAATCATGAAATGTAGACGAGAGGGGAAAAAAAGGCACCCACGACATCAGTGTGGTCCTTGATGCCAAACTGATCTCTCAGCGTCCATTGACAAATCCCTGAATTTCAGAGCCTGGTAAAGAAAGCGCAAGAACACCCCTGGACGGCAGCATTCACTACTGTCTATGGTAGGATCCAAGTGATTTTAAGTTCCTTTTTGTGAATGGCTTCAGCGCAGGTATCTGACGCCTCTGAAATGTTTGCAAAGAGAAAAGAGAGAAAAGGAGGCAGAGCAGAGGAAAGAACAAATGACCATGGCAATGACAGCCACCTGCCAGCACGTACACAGCACGCAAGCAGCCCCATGACCTCTAAAACCCAAACCAAACCCAGACCAAAGCCCCCGGACTGGCTGCATGACCACAGCTAAGTGTGGAGGGAAGTGTGAGACCAGGTAGGAGTGTGCAGAACAAAAAAGAGGCTGGGTCATTCCAGCCCCCAGAGCATGATCCTGGGGCTACAAAGAGGCTCTGAAGTAGGGAGGTAAAACCCGCAGAGGAGCCCGGGAAAAGGATCTTACCTATAATTATTACCATTGCTTACGCAAAGCAATCACAAAGAAAAAGGGTTTTGTTCCTGTCTTTAAATTTGTCTTCTGGTTTTCCTGGAACCTTCCAGAATTGCAATCCATGCATACAAACGCCACTTCCATTTTTTACTTTTACCTGGTTGGGCCTTTCTATTATCCCAAGATAAAAAGATTAAAGTTAATAAAGATAAAAAGTTACTAAAGCCCTTAAAAGAGAGAGGAACACTGGGAAAACAGTCAGAGCTGGCAGGATTACCAGGACAGCTCTCCCTGGAGCCTGCGCCCTGCAAACCTGACTAATGAGCATTTGCCCCCCACAGGACAGGTTTTACACCCGTCCGGGAAGCTTCCAGGACGCAGGCCGACGGGGCAGGAAGCCAGTGGCGTTGGTCAGGACCCGTGATGACTTCAGACGCCGGTACCAAGTCGGTGACCCCCGACGGCTCCTTCCCTGGCTAATGTTCTTGAGCGGCTGCTGGGCTCCCACCGGGCTGGTTCGGTTAGTGCTGCTCTTAATCACCCTAAGCAGGTTCACGAGAGGAACTCGTGGCCAGTGTGGCTCAAGCCCAACACAGTGGCTCCGAAACCCTGCCGGGCACGTGTGGGAGAGGCGGGAACAGCAGCACGATCACACGGATAGATGGACAGACAGACCGACCATGCGTGTGTCACTGCCCAAATTCTCAAAGGACGGTGCTCACTGAAGGTCCACGCGCTGCGGCTCATCTGCCAACTTCTGCTCCTTCTCACCTATTCTCACACACCCACGTGCACGCTCCTTGACACTCACGCGCACACATACCCATGTGCTTCCGCACACCCTCACACACTCCTGCGCACCCAAGCTGTAAAGATAACCAAAGGTTGAGGTTTCACCAAGCATGATGCCCAGAAAGAGCTTATTCCTACACAATCATGATTTAAAACGATGGAACAACCCACCCTGCACCTACTGATTCTATTTCTTTTTTTTTATTCTATTTCTGAAATAAGAAAATTTGTCTGATTTAGGAAAGAAACAAGGGTCACATGATGTTTTTTAAGGAGAAAAGTCTTCTGTAACCACACTGGATGCATAACACAAATATCCAGCTCAATCAAAATAAGTTCCAATCCTGACTTTAAATACCACAAATAAACAGAGAAATACGGACAAATTTCCCTATGTATGTAAATTCATTATTTTAATTCAGACATAAATATATGTCCCTAAGGATCAATTCAAAACTGGACTCCTTAGCAGCAGATTTAACGCCGGCCCCTCCTGTGGCCCAGCCAAGCAGGCCACGCACACCCGTGACATCCAGGAAGGAGAGCCATGGACAGGAGTGGGCACGGGGAGCAGGGGCCAGGCTCCTCGGTGTCCGCCCAGATGGTGCCACAGTCAGGAAAGGAAGGTGCAGCTTTGTTTACTGGATCTCCCCCTTCAGAGTCTAAAGATCTGAGCAGCAGTCACCTTCCAAAGTAATGCCCCCACCAAAAAAAATTGTAGATCAATCTACTAAGATCTTTCTTGGAAAAAATAATAAAATGAAATAAAATAAAATCCCCTAGGGCTGGCCCATGCAAGTCAATGTGCCCAGATCTGCAGTGCCCAAAAAGCAGGAGAAAAGACCAGCTCATTCTTCTCAAGGGCACACAGAAAAATGGAAAAGTGGAGTGCAATGCGGGGCATCTGGGGAGGCCACAAAACCGACAAAAAGCAAAGGCACCAAATGGCCAAAGAGTATATAAGTGGGAAAAGGAAGCGGTCACCATTATCCTATTTGGTCTGTTTTTTTCCGGGGGGGGGGGGGGGGTCCAGAATTTGTTTGCAGTGCTCCATGGTTGCATTAAAATGCCTCTCGACATTGCACTTAAAATATATTAAAAAATACAGCGCACAGAAACAGCAGCTATGTGTCATCTGTGAACACAATTAAATCCATTTTTATAAGCCAACAGCAAAACCTGCATCTCAGACACCAGTGTTACCTTGACGTCCAACCATTAACGACTTTTAAAATCCTTTTGAATGAACTACATAGAATTGGCGGGGAGGTGGGGGGATCCTCTCACCACATCTTGACAAGGCAACTTTTGTGTCTTTTGTAATAACCAATAACTAATTATTCCAACTAGTGTAGACTTTCCATGTGAAATGCAAAGTATTTTGAACTCCTGCCAGACTAATCAAGATGATTTCCAAAATGCCACAACAGGAACTTCCTATAATAAATAACCTATCACATTTACATCTCAAATTAGGAAATTTGGAAGAAAACATGTAGTTTCAGTGCCAAAATAGAGATTACTAAAGCCTGCCCATCCCGCAAACCACCCCCCACCACCTCGCTCTCCACCTCCTTTTGCTTTCTTTAGCCTCTAAAGGAATAAACCCTGGTCCAGGTGCAAATGTTCAATGCACAAGGAATGCAGAGAACATGGAAATGACTGTAGGCTTGGCTGCTGGGGATCCCGGTGGCTGCTCACCATTGGAAGTGGTGCTGGAGGCCACTGCTTTCTCGCTGACATCTGTTCTCGAGGAGCATTTCACTATGGAAGTGTCCACTTTCTTCTTCTCAGTGGTCGTGGAGCTGTGGTTCTGGGCCTCCATGATGCTTTCTCATTACTTCAGCTCTCTGCTACCAGAAACGCCTAAAACAAAACAATGGTGCCATCAGCTTCCAGGAAGAGTGGGGGGGAAAAACATCTCACTTGAAAACCCACTTCACCTGTCCCTTGAGGACGTGCCTAGGGTTTCAGCGGGTTCAAAATCTGGAAAACCCTTGCCCACAAATTTTCTGGCAAAAATACCTCCAAGTGGTAATACCAAGCCAGTCAAATTCTGTCTACGTCCGCCAAAGGAGAAAGGAGGGCACCATCCATAATGTGAGACTTTCCTCCAAATTCCTACTGGGCATTTCTTATTAAGTGGGATCTAAAGATCTCAATTTTCAGCTGTGTTTATGGTGTGAAACTCAAATGTCACATTACTTTTTTTTTTTTAAGCCACATCTACAAATGTGTCTTCAGGTGGCCACATTTATAGGAAGAGACATTGTGACAACTTTCCAAAGAAGGGGAAGGTTTTTAAGTATTAATCAGAGGTTTTAGAGAGCATGACCACTTCTCAAAACCAAGCCCTACTCAAAAGTTGAGAAGCAGAGGGTAATTTGGGCCAAGGTATCTGAATTGCAATACTGCCCCCCCAATCCTAATTCACTGAGGTAAACTGTACTCTTTAAGCTTTCTTAAAACATGAGGACGTTTCCATTCATTTGTGCTCCATTTTTAAAACCAACAAAGGCAACAGAACAACACGCTCTGGATCCCACAGGAGAAGTCAAAAAATTATTAGGACCCCTTAAGGAATACTAAAACCCGGCTAAAGGCGCAGTTGGTCCTCTTTCACTGGCTTCATTCATGTGATAATTGTCCTAACTCATCATCAATTTTCCTCTCTTTGGTTCTTGTTTGTTTTTGTGGTTTTTCTTTTTCAGTCATGAGCTGCATCTATAAATAATATAAGAAAAGATGACAAGTGTCCTCTCCAGCATGTCTTCCACAAGCTGCCTAGATTGCAACACTCGTGGTGGGCATTTCTTCTAACAAGTCATCTGCCCGTGTTCCACATGTAGCAGGCACCACCACATTCAATCAAAACCACGATTAGTGAAATAAAATAAGCAACTGCTTAACCCTCTAAAAGGGCTAAGATACCTTGAAATCTTTTTAGTCATCCTGAACTCAAATTTGCAAGGCAATTGCAAGTTCTTTCTTTATTGTACGAGAAATTCTCCCCTTGATCTGGAATTGAAGTAACTAGAAAAGCTTAAGATCCAGAGGCTGCAGGGCACTAGAGCACCACCTCTTCTGCTAAACTTCCATTCTTTTCCCTTGATTACCCACTGCCATTCATTGTAAAACACACAAGTTATTTAAGAACAGCTTTTCTAGAATAAAAAGGGCGGGGGGGGGGGGGGGGGGAGCAGCACTGAGTTAAATTTACATATCAATTGTGAGATCCACTCCAAATTCAGAAACATCCATCAAAGAGGCCTAACAAAGTACATCGGCCAAGGAGCTGCAGAACCTCCTTTCTCTGGGCTGTCACCAGGTGCAAGTCCAGAGGCCAGAGCCTCTGTAGAGGCTACTACTGGAATGGCGCCCCCCGGAGTCACCCCACGTTCATTTCCTCATCTCCCAAGGACACATCACAACCTGGGACTTGGGACTGAACCTTGGGGGAAGGTGGGTACAGTCCTCTTTTTTTTTTTTTTAAGATTTTTTTTATTTATTCATGAGAGACACAAACACACAGAGAGAGAGAGAGGCAGAGGGAGAAGCAGGCTCCATGCAGGGAGCCTGGTGTGGGACTCGATCCCCGACCCCAGGATCACACCCTGAGCCAAAGGCACATGCTCAGCCACTGAGCCACCCAGGTGCCCCGGGTACAGTCCTCTTTAAGATTACGTTGAAAGTTACGGATCCCCCTCCCAGAAAAATACCCTGAAACACACACCGAAGAGTGTACATTTGATTTGCAAGGGATCACGAGCCCTCCAAGATCTTCCATGAACCCGGACAGAGAATGCCTGAGGGAGAGAGTTTTCGACAGTCTCTGTTTGCTCTAACAATCTCAGAACGATTCTAATTTTTTGGAATGCTCCCCTCCCCAGAACTGATGTAGATACCCATCTTTTCAAGTAGGCCACAAGAATAGTTCAACCCAATCCAGGGCACTGACTCCCAAGGCGGTAGAGAGAGCCACCTGGATCAGCCTGGCGACAGTGCCTGCAAGACATTCCGATTCCCAGCTCCAGTCCCTGATGTCTCCGAGGTAGCACACGGATCCTTTATTTTGGCCAGCATTGGTGATCATCAGGCTCACCAGGGCTTGCAGAAAACTGTTCCACACATTTCTGCTGACCCGTATGTACCCAGTGCAACAGATAAACCCATTTAAGTGTTTGCTGACCTGATGAAGTAATGAATGAATGGCACCCCAGAGTACTGAATTTCAACAGCCTGCCATGAGCCTTTCCCAGCACCCATCACAATAATAAATCCTCTTTCGAATCTTTACTGAAAGGCCTCATGGCCATCTCCCCCCACCCCCACCCTCACCCCCCAGATCCTAAGCTCCATGAAGACAAGCACCAGCTACATCTTCCCAGCTCCTCAGACCCATAAGAATGTTCACTGAGTAAATAAACGATCCTGAGACGACCCAGTGACCAGGACAGTTCTGCGGTGTCTTCAGTCTTAGTCACCACCGATTTAGCTACACATCTTTTCTTTTCCATCCCGTATCTCTTTGAAAACTGACACTTTATACAAAAACTAACAGCTCTAACAGGAATATTTAACCAAAACACTCCATTCGCAACCATTTTGGATAAACAGGCATTTACTATCATTGTTTCCCTCAAAACCCACATACGGTTTTATTGGTCAAATTTGGATGGAGTTTGCGAAGTTAAAGCTGCTCATGGAAACAAGCCAATGGACCAGAAAAAAAGGAAAAAAAAAAAATCATGAAGAGATGGGATCCCTTCCTGGCTAAGAAGTTTCAGGGAGCTAATTAACAGTAGTGAGGTGACAAGTCACCAAAGTTCCCTGACAAACTTGGGTTTTGTGGAGTTGTTGGTTTTTCCCCCAAGCAAAGGGCTGCGTTTTAACAAAGCAATAAACCCTCCAAATACTCATCACCAGAGAGAGAGGCTCACGTGAGGAGAGGTAAAGCCCCAGGCACGGACTAAAATTGCACTAATTAATGGTTTTAGAGAATACTAATTCCTACCCCCTCCCCCTGTTCGAAATGGTTTTTTAAAAAACCGGGCCCTTGGTCACTCAAGAATCTATCCCCTTCTTGTATTTTGACAACTTATTTTTGGATCTCATTAGTTAGTAACTAATTATTTAAAAGTGTGGTTTATGCTTGGAACAGGGCTGGAAAAATGGCAACTTGCCAAGCTAAGACATCTGCTTCCTGTATATCCCTATAAATTATATCAGCTTATTTTACTGATAAAAACACAACTTTGTCCCTGTCAGTTAGAAAGGAGAGAGTTTTAACATTCTAGGCTCTCACACCTCATCAAAACTAGGCATGAAGAGTTAGCAGGCAAGGGCCTGTGCAGGCTGTTATCTTCACGGGACATGGAGCTGAGTTCAGAAACTCAGTCCCGATTTGATACATGAAGGCGACAGGTACAGAAGTGACCAGGCAAGATTCCTCATGGAATCTTAAAACACACACACAACCACAACAGGGGCCCACCGTACTATTTTTAAAACCTGGAATTTCTCAAGTGATCAAGCCTAATGTATTTAGAACATAAGTTGCACGGAAAACTTTTCAGTCCTGCTTCACTTCAAAGATTTTTCTCTGAGGAAAACATGCCACTGGTTTTTAGATATGAATGAAAGGTGACTTCCCCCCCCCACCCCCACCCCCGGACCTCAGTTCCTCTTCTTAGAACTCCACACTGTTCCTCAGCCCCTTCCACCACTTGCAACACCACATGCAAGATTTGTTGGCAAGGCCCTTGCCTTTGGACACTTACGGAAAAAATATATATATATATTTGTAGCTGATATTGGGAGTTCCAGCAGCTCGAGTATATGGGGGGGGGAGGGGATGCAACCAAGGCCAAGTCTCCTCTTGCAGACCTGCTAAAGCTTGAAGCTGCATAGGTAAACGGAAGGATAAAAATTGCTTCCTGAAAGCACTCATCGCTTTTCCCCCCATCCCCCCAACTGTCCCAGAACCTTTTTTGCAATTTTCCGGAGGCCTAAACCGGGGGCACAATTAATTCCAGATCTTATGTTAAACCTAACCCTTCGCCCACTAGCAACCTGCCTGCAGGTGGGTCCTCTCCTTGCTGCATTCTAAATCTGAGCTTGCATCAACCTCCTACAGAAGAAAGCATCTGAAGCTTGCAGGAGCCCCTCGACCAAGCCCAAGCGAAGGCTAAAGAATCCAACAGATCCGGGGATCCCTGGGTGGCCCAGCGGTGTAGCGCCTGCCTTCAGGCCCAGGGCGTGACCCCGGGGTCCCAGGATCGAGTCCCACGTCGGGCTCCCTGCGTGGAGCCTGCTTCTCCCTCTGCCTGTGTCTCTGTCTCTCTCTCTCTCTCTCTCTAATGAATAAATAAATAAAATCTTAAAAAAAAAAAAAAGAATCCAAAAGATCCAATCTGACAGTCCTTGCAGGGGGGACCTAGGTTTGGGTGCGCACTGTCACCCAGAAAGCCTCAAGGGGCCCTAGCTTCAGAAATGCAATGAAATAAATAAATAAACAGATAAAATAAACAGACCAAACCGCAAGGAACTTTCATCTCTGCAAAGCCGAGTCCCCATTGTTGTCAGAGTTCCGCAGGCTGCGGGCCTCGCGGTCCCCGGGGCGACCTCCCGCGCCCCCCTCCCCGCGAACCACCCGCCGCGCGCCCTCCGCGCACCCGAGGCACCGGCCAGCCCTGCTCCCCGCGGAGAGTCGGGGCGTCGGGGCGCCCGGTGCAGCCGGGGCCCCCCGAGGTCACCGTGGTCCGCGCACGCAGCCGCCCCCCCAGCGGGCCCCGGGCGGTGCCGCAGCCCTGCGGCCCTGCACGGCTGCTCCCCCAGCTGACCCCGGGGCGGTGCAACCTTCCAGG